TGCAAGTGAATGATAACATATGATTATTCAGGGATAGTTTAATATGCAAATGTATGCTCATAATAATATATAGTGCATAAATGAGTAAATATAATATAAAGTAGGGTAGGACTCCCTTATATTGAGCTTGATGGATCTTCAATGATGTGAGTATGTCATGAAGAAAGTTGGTATTAGAGGGGATCACATCATTCTTGGTTGATGCTACATGTATGAGATGCATGTTTTAGTTTTATTGTTTTCGACGAATATGTATGCTATTATTGTTCAATTCGCTAACCGCTATGATTAAAACGTTAATATGTTAAATTTACAATCACTGATTAAGAGTTAATCATATATTGGTTTGCTACAAGAGTTTATGATATTGATATGTTAATTGTTAAAATGTAGATCGGTGGGCATGCGATAACAGATTGTGTTCGACAGAGGAAAAATGATTGTTCCAATATAAAAAACCTAATGTTGTTGATAAATGTTATAAAATCATGAGGTTTTTCATAGAAACAGTAAATTTTGTTTTTCAAAAATATTTTATTTGCACAATTGTTTACATGCATGGTTATAGCCCTTTTAATTTACAATGATTGTAAATTTTAAATATAGCATGTGTGTCGTACCTTTCTATATTTCAATTGTATTTCTCATCTCATCTTACTCCCTCGTATGTAAAACGAGTCTCTTGAATTGTAATCCCTTGAATTTACAAAGAAGCATATGAATGGATCGACTAAAGACGAGAAGGTACTTGATAAACAGTCTTAGGTTTTAGGATTCTTGGTTCTCCTATTGTCTTGGGATGGGCTACATTAGTTTTTGTTTTGGGCTATAACCATTTCATTTTATTTACTATTTATATATGTCATGTATGTGATGAAACAAATGACACGTTAGTATGCTAAAATAAGAATGAACCTTGATAAGATCAATAAAGGGCCTAGAGTAACAATGATGAGATAATTTCGCAAATCGTTCTTTATAATCTAAGTTAGCATAACCATCCAATATTTACCCTCGTTATGACTTCAATTGATATTGTGTGGGCTTTTCCAAAGCATTGGTACATGAATCTATCTTTGTTAAACGTGACGACTAAGGAAGTGATATTCGTCGGTTGAAATATTGATAATAACTTAGCTAGGTTATTCTAATAGGATTAGAAACTTACAGGTTAATTATTTGGATAAATCATGAGATGATTTGAAGAACGAGTTGTTCACCAAATGGAGGAGTTACATGAGATGTAATTAGTAAGGTGTTACTTACCCAAATAACCATTTTCCTTAAAGAAAAGCCAAAGCTAATTTAGGAAGAAGGTGAAATATGGATTCTCACTCACTACAAAAACTTTTGAGATGTTTTTTCCAAAATTAAAACTAGAGGGTTTTTAATTTTGAATAAAATAGTAGGAGTAATTTGTAAATAAAGACTTATTTATTAATATTTCGGTCTTACTTTAAATATTTTCATTGTTGTAGACTAATGGAAAACAACATTTTATCATTGTGATCGCTCCTTGAGAAGGAGAAGTTGAATGGCATAAACTTCCTTGACTAGTTCCGTAATTTCAGAATAGTTCTCAAACAGAAAAAGAATGAATATGTCATTGAAGAATCTGTTCCTGATGAACTGGAAACTAATGCTTCTAGAGCTAAAAAAGGCAAATTTATGGAACATATAAATGATATGTTAGACGTAGGTTGTTTAATGCTTGCGATCATGAGTCATGAGCTTCAGAAGCAACATGAGGACATGGTTGCATGTGAGATGATTCATAATCTCAAAGAAATATATGAGGGAAAAGCACGTCAAGAGAGGTATGATACCTCTAAAGCTCTGTTTCAATGTAAAATGGTAGAGAGATCTCCTCTAAGAGCTCATGTCATCAAGATGATGGGCTACATCCTAACATTAGAAAAGTTGAGATTTCATCTTAAAGATGAATTGTCTACAGATGTTATCCTACAATCGTTACCAAATAGCTTCCTTAAGATAGATTTTCAACCATTCCTGTGATGCTTGAGATAGTTGGTTGTCTGTCTCACAAGATATAACAACTAGATGATCAGATACAGTTGCACTGCTGCAGAGATCACGGACTATTATTTGCATTCATCTATCACAAAAAAACTAGAGAAAAAGAAAAAAGAATTCTTTTGAATTGTTTTTTAGTTGTAATAAGTTGCGTTTAACCTAACAAGTTTACACAATATTTATAGGGGTTTCACACAGTAACTATATGAAATTTTTTACCTAACGAAGCATTTAATAAAAAATAATCAAGTAATTTCCAAAATTATTGTATGAATTAAAGGAATCTTTTAATATTTAAGCTTTTAATTCCAAAATTGAATTTTGAAATGATATACTCTATTTGAGGAAAATATTTTAAGTTTGAGTTAAAATATCTGCAAGCCTACGGAGAGCTCGATCGGTTCGGGCATTCGCGTTACCCACGTCATGCACTTCTGCACATGTACGAACCAACAATTGATTTCACATTTTTTATTCAACGATGTTTGGATCAATTTCTCATTCGAAGCTCCAAAATTATAAAAGTTTTCCAACAACATGCTTAGGGCATTTAAGATACTTGATCTATTCCTAAATACTCCAAGGGTTACATTCGTAATTTCTTAGATATAAGCCTAATTGCAAGCAACTAGTTAGGCTTTCATTTTCCGGGACTGTTGAGCATTATATTATTGTGAGTACCTAAGAGGACAGAAAAAAACATCAATTAATAAATATTTAACGTTAATCAACTAGTTATATTATATAAGAGTCAATTTTTTTTATTTTACTGGTCATATTAAATGACTTCAAATGGAAGATTAAGATATTCTTAAAAAATTATTGTCCTCTTCAAAAAATATTGTTTCTTAAAAAATTATTCAAATGGGACTTTCACTCAGCTTCTATCCTCATCCTGAAATTGAAAATAAAATATATATTGTATAGCATAAGTTGTTAGAAAATATATATCTAAAAAATAACATAACTGATATTTCCTTTCGAGGAACAAATTAATTATATATATACACCTTATAGCAATTCATAGAATACACTATATATAGCATTTTATGTAAGTAATTCAAGTAGTAAGTACCGAATATATAACCCGTGGTGAAGCAAAAGGAGGGGAGAAGAGAGAGTTTCATGACGGTGGCACATCTAAAAATAATTTTTAGGATAAACACATAAATAAAATTTTATATAAAATGGACATAAATAAAATTTTAGGATAAATGTAATTAATAAAATAAATAAATAGATAATCAAAGAAAATTTAGATTTCAAAATTAACGTGATGGAAATAATCTACTTCAGCTAGGGATGGTGGAGACGATAAGATTGGTATCCCACGCGCCGCTGCTCCTTTGCCCACTTGCCAACCCCCCCCCCCCACCATTTCTCCCATTATTTTTTATTTTTTGTCACTCTCATTGTTCATAAACTAACCAAACTTGAGCAACTTGTGGTGGAGTTAGCCATGGTTAAATCCAAACTCCAATGAGCGACGACCAACGTTAACATCTAAATCAGCTAACCTTACCCACAAGTTTCAATCCAATCCCTCCTCCGTCTACTTCACTAAGAGGTCAGTTTTGTCTTACGATTCTTATTGATGGATTTCTTAATCTACAAGTAAGATTATTGCTATAAATTGAGAAATATATAGGGTTTTGTTGAGAGGATTTTTTTATAATTTTTTATGTCGCTTTAAAATAAAAAATTAGGTATGTTTGGACACCACAAAATAAAATTACACAATTATATAATTATATGAAAATGTAAATGTTATTTTAGTAATTACGTGAGTGTATATTTATAAAAAATTACTTTTTTAAATATGTTTTACTGACAAAGTGTATTTACTATTTCACATGGCATGTTTAATAGTATAAAATATAGTTATACGATTATACAAATTTAAAATTTTACATAATTCTCAAAGTTTAATAAATCATATAAAAGGAAAACTAATACACGTAAATAGTGAGATAAATGCGTTGAAGAAGAAGAACGTATTTTAATTAGTTCTCTAGTCAAGAAACAATTTACTGCAACTCTGATACACATACTAAGAACAATGAAGAATAGTAAGATGCCATCTATAGCTTTCTACACAATTTTATATTCATCCATCTAGTTGACTTTTTGTTGAAAAGTAGAAATTGTGTTTTTTTCTTGAACGGACTCTTATTTTTTGGCAAAATGTTGAGCAAGTGCTACATAAAAAGCCTTGGTCAAAGGGAAGTTGAGCTGGTATGGTACATATTAATTGTACTTCTATTGTCACACTAAATCTCGAGAACTTCATTGAGAACAATTTCAAAATCATTTAACATAAATTTAACTATACTATTTCTAACATAGCATCAACCAAGCTATGATATTCAACTCTTATTGTGGACGAAGGGACAACATTTTATTTCTTAGAACTCCAAGAATTAATATTTGACCGAAGAAAACTTTTGAATCCGAATATTATTCAATTATCATCAGAATCATTATCCTAATCAATATTAGGATATGTACTCACAAAATGTACTAGGATTCAATATTACAATATATACTCACAAAATGTACTAGGATTCATAGTTGTATTAGGAATAAAAAATAATCCACAATCTAACACATCTTTCAAATATATTAGGATATGTTTGAATGTAATCCAATGACTATTGCGAGATGAATGCATATATTGTGCAACTTCATTTACATTGAATCAGATATTTGGACGAACAATTATAAGGTATTGCAACGCTTCTACGATGCTTAAAAAATATTGAACATCCAGATATCGAACATCATCCTTAACTGCTAATAGCAAGTGAATTAATTGATAGGATTTAAATATTTATGTGATATAATTGAAAAAATCAACAAATCAGTGGTGTAAATAAAACTGACTCTATAATGAACTGACTATTCAAGTAGTTTACCGAAAGAGTTTTCTCAACCAATTTGAGTATTTATATTAGAAAAAGGAAATGAGTGCGTTTTTATAAACTTTCTTTTGTCTCCTCTCCTCCTTTCCTTTGCCAGCGCTCCTTCCTTGTTTTTAATTTATTCCTTTAAAAAATGGAAAACTATTTCTTCTCTTAACTATACAAATCATTTTCTTTCACCGAGTCTCGGATATCGCTTGCCTTCCTTTTCCCCCTTCTTTATAGTTTTTCTTCCCACTTAAACAAACCCCATCTTAGACAGTTTGAAGTCTAAATTAATCCATTAATTATATACTATTAACCATTGTTTTTAGATAATAAAATTTTAATCCTTTGGTTTCCTTGTTTTGATGCTGGCATGGCCGGTCTTTTCGATGCTCGTCATCAGCTTCACAGACCCGACCTTCATCTCCAACACCGACCTAAACCCGAAGAGCATGATGCTTCCAACAACCGCGTTGGTGGTGGTGCACAGTATGGCTCGGCCGATCATCAACGAGACGATGAGTCAACTCACCAGGGTCTAGACCTGGTCAACGCTGCCAACTCGGGGTCAGGTGATGACCTTGTGGCTCGTAGGTCAAGGGGACGTTCTCCGGGCTCGAAGAACAATTCTAAGCCACCGGTTATCATAGCAAGGGAGAGTGCCAACACGCTCCGAGCTCACATTCTTGAGATTGGGAACGGCTGCGATGTGTTCGACTGTATCGCCAACTACGCTCGGAAAAGGCAAAGAGGTGTCAGTATATTGAGTGGCAGTGGTACAGTGACCAACGTGACCATTAGGCAACCATCGGCAGCTGGAGTTGTGGTTACCCTCCAAGGCAGATTTGAGATTCTGTCTCTCTCGGGTTCTTTCCTGCCTCCGCCGACTCCGCCAGGCGCCACCAGTTTGACAATCTTTTTGGCCGGTGGACAAGGTCGGGTTGCAGGAGGGAGTGTGGTTGGTGAGCTAATGGCGGCGGGACCTGTTATTGTTATAGTTTCGTCGTTTACGAATGTGGCCTATGAGAGGCTACCTCTGGAAGAGGATGACCAGCTGCAGATGCAATCCGGAAGCGGCGGAGGAGGTGGTGGAAATAACATGTTTGCTGATGCAGGAGCTGCCCCAGGTGGGTTGCCTTTCTTTAATTTGCCTCTAAATATGCCCCCTAACGTCCAGTTATCGGTTGAAGGATGGCCTGGAAACTCAGGTGCTAATAGGCCTACTACGTTTTGAGAACTTTTCAATGGTAAACTCATGGACTAGTTATCAACTTCTTCTTACACTTTCTCTTATGTTGATGTTAAGTTTAGTTTTTTTTATTATTATTTTTTTCTCAATCTTTGTTTTAGTTCCTTTTGTTAATCTTTTTTCTGGTTTCTTTTGGGATTTCTGGAAATAGTCCTTTCTTGTTCATGGTTTGATATGATGTATTAACTTCTGTTGGATAATATAATCAGTCACTGAATTTTCAGTGTTACTAACAGATCAAATTGGGTTTCCCTCTTGCTTTAATTGTTGTCCCTTCATCTTTTCAAATCTTTCATTTCAGATCCAACAGACATAACAAAGTGCTTGAAACTTAGGACTTAAACAAAGTACTTGAAACTTAAAAAAGGGTTGGAAAGTAAATCTTGTAGGATTTGGTAACATGGGCTTTTGTAATAAATCCTGTAGGATTTGGTAACATGGGCTTTTGTAATTTCTTTTGCATTGTTTTCCGGAGAGAATATAACAATGAAGAAACAAAGGGGTTTTGTCACTGAGGATTCTTCTTGTTTTCTGTCATAATATGGCATCAATTTTTGCATTGATATTGTAATCCAAACTTACTATTTCTTGATTTTCAGATCCCTTTATTTTATTAATTATTGCATCGCATTCTTCTCTTTCAAATCTGTTGAACTAAACCAAAACATAAGCAAGTCCTCGTGATTATTAAGTACTACTAAACTGCTCCTAGAACAGTTATCAATATTTTACATACATGTTGATGAGCATATAGATTGTGGGGATATTCGCGATTCCCATTTTTGGTTTGGACGGGATCGAAAATTAATCATTGATCAGAGACGAAATATTTTATTTTCATAAGAAAATAGAACAAAAAGAATATAAGGGAGATGATTTCTTAGGTAGCGTTTGGTTTGCTGGAATGTTTCTGAGGGAATTGGAATCTGTGAAGGAATTGGAATCTGTCAGGAATTAGAATCTGAATCTAAAACCTGTTTGGTTGGCAAGAAATTGAATTGGAATCCAATTTCATATTCTGTTTGGTTCGCAAATATGTCAAATGAATTTGATTTCAGTAATGTAAAATGACAGAATTACCCTTCTTGTTTTTTTGCTTAATTTTAGTTTGTTTTATACCTTACATGTAGCAATATATTATAAAAATTTTAAAAATATTAAATTTTAATTTTATTGATTGATTATTCATTTCAATAAATTATAAAAATCATGCTAATAAACATCACAAGTTAAAATCATCCCAATCAAAATATGTTAATAAGTTACCAAAAGATAGAGCAATATTTCGATACATCCCAATCGAAGTATGTCAATTAGTTACCAAACAATATACCAAAACGACTTACGGTCTTATTTAATAAATACTCCAAATAATTTTTTTTTTAGAAATTTAATATTAATAGAATATTTTAATATCATTTTAATCAAAATATTAAATTTTAAAATATTTAAAATATATTTATTAATATTTCTAATAATATAATATAATACTATTAATTTAATAAATAATTAATATAATTTATAATATTTTTATTTCAATAAATTATACAATATTAATATTTTTATTAATGAGGGTAGCATGGTCAAATTTCACATTCCCTCCTCAAAAGGATTTTAATTCCCCCATGTTATAGATAGAATTTACTTTCCCCCTTTGATGGAAAGTTGAAGTCATTTAGGATTCCAATTACCTTTGAAAACTTGAACCAAATATGGGAAAGTGGTGGAATTGAATTCCAATTTCCCCTAATTCCAAGGGATTCCTGCGAACCAAACGCCACCTTAGAGTTTTCATCTAGACTCTCAATTATGGTTATAATGATTATCTCTAATATGACAGGTTAGATGGATATGATTAGGAAATGTTGATTTTCGAAGATACAAGTCTTAATCCCTTTTCCGGAACTCTCGATGAATGTTGAGTGTTTGAGGTTTCCTCATCCGTAGATACTATTATGGACTCATTTGTTATTCTTTGAAGATGATAATATCTAGAGGCGATATAATAATCCTATATATATAAACTCAAATTACTGAAATTAGAGTCTATTTACTATTTCCTCTTTGATAACAATATTTTTTTTTATAAAGATAATAAGGGAAACATAAAAAAGTTTCCGAAAAAGGGGGTCATATATGCTAGGTAAACACACCTAAACAGCCACCAAATGGAAACACAAACCTTAAGAAATGAAACACAGCTGACATTGAGAGATATTTCTAACAAAAATAGATGCAGTTCTCTTCAAATGGGCTCTACTCAGCTTGAAACAATATTGTTTTGTGGCTTAGTGGCTATCTACTTGGATTCCATTACTGGTATGGCTACTGATTACCATAACAAGATATTACTGTTGCGCTTAGTTTTTCTAGAACTAAAAGAGCCTTAATTAAGCATATTTCCCCAGTGAAACCAAACAGAAATCTCAAACACCCAACGTTATAACCTTACGGACACAAGATTTTTTTGTTAAGTACATAACTTTTAAAGGTTATATTTAAATTTTTTATATAAAATTATAAAATTTTGAGTGTGTGCTGTTGGCAAAAGGGTGAATTTAATTGATGAATTTAATATTTATATTAAATACATAATCTTTTTGACTATTGCAAATTAAAAGATAATTTTTAAATTTGAATATTAGTAGTATAATTACTCTTTTAATAATTCAATCTAAAAAAGTATTTGTTATCTTTTTTAATTTTGAATATTAAAAGATAGTTATATACTTTTGTATATTTCAAATTAAAATAATATTTGTTTAAGTTTGAATAGTAAAAGGAGCTTATCTTTTGATCATTGCAAATTAAATATATTATTTAATTTAAATATTAGTAGGATAATTATTCTTTGAATATGTCAATTTAAAAAGGTATTTGTAACCTTTTTAACTTTGAATATTAAAGATAATTATATGCTTTTGTATATTTCAAATTAAAATGATATTTATTTAAGTTTGAATGTAAAAAGAGTTTTATCTTTAGAATATTTCAAATTAAAAGATATTATTATATGTTTAAACTTGTATATTAAAAGATATTTGGTTGGATTAAATATCTCTTGAAAATCCCTTATAAATAGTGAGCAAACACGTTGTACCCTGAGAGACAGACGTCCAACAAACTCAAGCACCAAAGGAGTGACCGAAAATTTCTCTTTAGAAAATTGTGTAGCATTAGGCCTCAACCGATTCCGATCTCAATTGATCAAAATAAAAAAAGTATTTTTACTTATATTTAATTTTTATTTACTTTATGAAGTTTAACTTCTTTGTTTGATTTTCTCAAGTTTGATTTCATATCAAATTGTTACTTCGGTCAACAATCTTAAGCAAATAAACTCATTCATATCCCTATAATTTTAAAATGATATTATTATCAGTATTCATTATTAGTTTTCTATATCATTCTAGAATTAATGCAATATTTTTCTAACAGTATTAAGACAAATTTGATTTTCTTATTTTTTTTGAGATGATATATAGTGAGTTAAATCTTTGTTGTGTACAAGGGAAGTGCCAAAACAATTCGGCAAAAGAAATATTGGGCGAAAATCAAGAGGAATTTACGCCAAAGATAAGTTTCCTTCACTTTTTGAATTTATGAATTTTAAATTCTTTGAGGAATATTCTGAATTTAATTTTAATGTAAGATATGGCTCCATTAAATTCTAGGTAGGTGTTGGGATTTGCGGAAGCTCGAATCGACAACCGAAATAGTTTGCAAAGAGGGGTCGGAATGATTTTTGTGTTTAGGGAGTAAGGAGATTGAAAGATAAAAAATTGCACAGCGATTTAGAGTGGTTCTACTTCTCAACCAAGTCTACATCCACTACCTTAGCTCCTCACCAAGGATTTTCCAACAAATTCTCTAATTTGTTCTTTCTTTTTAAGAACAAAGAGATAACCTTTACAACTCCCTAGTTTTTCACGGGATAAACTAGAACCTTTTCCTAGCTTTTACACGGGCTTTGCTAGAACCTTTCCTCTTTACAAAAGGATAAAAGAAGTAAACAAACAAACCTCTCAAAGGTAGGTGTTTACAAGAATTAAGCTCACAAGAACAAATATTTACAAGAGAAAGGAAAATAAGAATAAAAAGCTCTTCTCTTGTGTTTGATTGCTTGGATAGTTGTTATATATATTCTTCATGTGTCTTGAACATGTATTTATAAGTTGGAATGAGTTTGAAGTCGTATATAGCCATTGGAAATGTTTTGGAGCCGTTGGGGATTCATTTTCTGCAAAATAAAACTGTCCATAACAGGGTGTATCGGTACACTATCAAGGTGTATCGGTACACCTTAATAAAATTTGAATTTTGTGACCGTTGGGCTGAAATTACTGTAGCAGTGTATCGATACACTATAGAAGTATCGATACCCATTTTACATTCGATGTTTTTGAGCATCAGTATTGTTCATTACTGTTCACACAATATCAATACTATTTATACATTACCAATACTATTCATACGGTACAGTACTATTCATAAAAAATATGGATAGTTGTTATATATATTCTTCATGTGTCTTGAACATGTATTTATAAGTTGGAATGAGTTTGAAGTCGTATATAGCCATTGGAAATGTTTTGGAGCCGTTGGGGATTCATTTTCTGCAAAATAAAACTGTCCATAACAGGGTGTATCGGTACACTATCAAGGTGTATCGGTACACCTTAATAAAATTTGAATTTTGTGACCGTTGGGCTGAAATTACTGTAGCAGTGTATCGATACACTATAGAAGTATCGATACCCATTTTACATTCGATGTTTTTGAGCATCAGTATTGTTCATTACTGTTCACACAATATCAATACTATTTATACATTACCAATACTATTCATACGGTACAGTACTATTCATAAAAAATATTTTTGTGCTCAATTCCAAATTAAATGGACTTTGAATTATTTTTGTAAACTTTTGAAAACTTTGAATAAATTCAATTCAAGTCCAAAACATTTTACCATAAATTGTTATATCAAAACATAGTTCAACAGTCGGGATTCAAAGAAGTTGATTCAAAAATCTCTATAAGATATTAGTGTTTGTGCACTTTGTAGGGAACACCTTGAATCTTGATGGTGTAGGTTTTGATTAACAATGGAGAAGTTAATAATTTTGAACAAGAATTCAAGTTTTGGTTTACAATGTTGAAGTCAATCATGTAGGTGAAATTTGAATATTTTCCTTTAATCTGAAATGATTCAAAACTCTTTGTTCTACCTTTTTTTTAATATGAGACAAATCAAATATCGTGGGAAAAACAAGATGCAAATAAATGTGTTTCGGGATT